GTATGGCTAGCTGATGAGAGCTAAATAGCTTGAAATAGATCTATACTAGTCTCCCTTTATTTATTTATCAGCATAAATACAACACAAACATATATATACACCCACATATATTATATGACACAGAAATTATTATGCTCCATCAAAATCTGCTAATTAAATTTATTTTGAAATGAAATGTATAAATGTATAACATTTCAGAATCTCTTCTTCTGTTTCCTCTACACTTTTTCCATTGCATCACCTGATCATTGAAGATCACTGTAAAATTATTTCTAGACTGACAGAGTGGAATGGTATCTTTAAGAAGATACCTTTTACAGATAAAGCTATATTCTTGCTGTGGGTTTTAACAAATCTAAGAACTAATAGTAACACATTGCAAATCTTGTACACATTCTTTCTTAAAAGAATGAGATTATGTGCTTGCATTATACTACAAAATTTATTGAGTCTAGTTTCCCCAGGGCATTTATAAAGCCAAAACCAATCTTAAATCTTTCACAAACTCTTTCTATTAATGTTTGATCATTATACCTTCAAAAATAAAACCCAGCCAGGCAAGGTGATAGGAGTCTGTTACCCACACAACGAAAATGTTAAATTTACATTATAAAGCCATTACTAAATCAATCTTAAAACTATTTTTAACACTAACAGCAGAACTAACCCTAAAACTCTACTGCTATCTTAATACCTAACCCTTAGCCCTAACCTTAATAAGGTAGTAAACATGAACCCTAACACCAATATTATCCAATATTATCCAACCCTTAATTTAGTACTATTTTAAACCTTGCCAAACTGTAACACTAATTTAATAGATTTTGTTAGCATTTGGCTAATGCTCATTCCAATATTGCTCTAACTACACGCAACAATCTAGCACTAAATCTAAACCTTACCAAAACTATTTAATCCTATTCCTATCCACCTAATCCTATCTCCTACCTGAGCCAAACCTAATCCTAATTCGACCCTAAAATTTGGCCATAAAAACAAATAATAAGCCTTAAACCTTATATAAACTAAGCACCTAACCGGAACTGTAACTTAACCTTGCTGTCAATACTAACTATAAACTTTAACATTCACCTTAGCTATAACTTTATTATAATCTGTACAATAATGCCTAACGGTAGTCGTAGTCCAGATTCTTGAATCCTTATAACAATAATAACCTTAACTCTAACTCTAATCCTGTCACCATAAACCTGGCCCATGCTATAGGTATAGATTTTTATTGTGAAATATATTCATTTGGTTTTTGGGTCCAGGTAACGATAATTACGTTCCTTTTTAAATTCTTATTCTCAATTCCTCCTTCAGGGATTTTTTGTCTCTATCATCTATTGCTACTGTAATGGAGAGGTAAGTTTCTAGTGGATAATGGAGGTGCAGTTGGAATGTGGTGTGTGTGTGTATGTATGTATTTTCATACTTGTGCCCAGGGATTGCTCCTCTGTCTCTCCCTCTCCCCCCATGTTACACTCTCCCAACAGTCTTTTCTCTACGGAGAAAAATTGTTGGTATCTCCTAATTTCAAGGTGATGTTCATGGAAAACTACCTCTGTTTGTGGCTAGCTAGCCTTTCTGTGGCTAGCAGAGTAGCTGGGATGTACAGTAGGTTAAATTTGCTGTCAAAAATGAATCTGCTGAGCCTTAGAAATACGCCTTGCTTAATGTTAAGATCAAGGAGCTAATGATTGGAAGAAAGGGAAAAGGAAAATACCTAAAAAAACCTTTGGGACGTAATTCATAATTCATTTTTCAGGCATAAAAAAGGAGGATGGCTTAGAACAAAACAGGTTTATTTACAGAATAGAGGTGGAAGGGAACCTTGGAGGTCTTCTAGTCCAACCTCCCTATACCCGTGATGGCGAACCTATGGCAAGCGTGCCACAGGTGGCACACAGAGCCATTTCTGAGGGCACGCGAGGCACGCGCGCGCACTCGGCAGCTGATTTTCTGCCTTGATTTTCGGCCATTTTCTGCCCTCCGGAGGGTGAAAAACCACCAAATTCGCTAACCGGAAGTTCGGGAACGGATTTCTGGTTTGTGCATTGGGCTGTTTTTTGCCCTCCAGCCTCCGGAGGGAGAAAAACGGGCAACGTGGAAGTCAGTTCCAAAACTTCCAGTTTGCGTGTTGGGCCGTTTTTTGCCCTCACCAGGCTCCTAGAAAGCCTCTATAGCTTGGGGAAGGCAAAAAAATGGACCTACGGGGCCCACCGGAAGTCAGAAAATGGGCCGTTTCCATCCTCTGGATGGCCTCTGTGGGGGTGTGGGGCGTTTTTGCCCTCCCCAGTCTCCAAGAAAGCTGTGTGCACATGTGTGGGGCAGTGGGGGCATCATGCATGCATGCTCAGGGGGCATGGTGTGTGGTGGACATTAAATTATGGGGTGGGTATGTGAGTGCGCACAATAGCGCGTGCACATATTTTTGGTACCCGAGGTGAAAAAGGTTTGCCATCACTCCCCCATACCATTCCAGATAAAGCCTCCAGTGATCAAGCATCCACAACTTCTGAAGGCAAAAGCTGTGCCACTGGTGGTTTTCACTGTGGCAGCCCCTTAAATACTGGAACACTGCTGTCATGTCACCTGTTCTGACCCCCCCCTCCTCCGTCCAGGAACGAAAGCCAAAACAAACGTAAAAGAGAATCTTTTTTAATCAGTCCAGACTCTCGTTGGCTGCAAGCCCAAAATAAACAACGAAATAAGCACTCTGGCAGCAAGTCCTACAAACCTAGGCAGCAATGCAAACAAGCAAACCAATTCGCCAAGTTGGTTTTTCTTAAT